TTTTTGTTTTATTTTTATTATAGGGACCGGGATATTGTCGATGTATAAACATTGACTCGACTCCCATCTCAGACATGGAACTTTGCAAATATTCCAAAGTCACTGTTGGCTTCACAATGGCATCCCTAACCAGTTTCCTACTTGCCTGGCTGCTTAGTTTAGAAGGGTGGCTTGATCTGGATAGTATGAAGTACATTCCTCTTCTTAATGGTGGACTTCATCGTATTCAAAGGGATAGTCAGCGACTTTGAAATTTTCTTGCAACTTTCCCCTGATCTGTGTTTCTCTACCACTTTATCCCCGACTTGTTTGGAAAGCTCCTTGGTCTTCATGGTTGTTTTGTCGTATCATTATGTGAGTTGTGGCTTGAACAGATACATTTAATCTAAAGTCAAGTTAAACCACTTTGATTACAACAGACAGAGACCATTACACTAGGTTAGTGACCTTTCACACGAATCTCTTGCACATGAAATGATTTTCAGTAATAAAGGGGTTGAATACTCGTGTAGCAAAGGGGTTAATACTCGTGTAGCAAAGGGGTTAATACTCGTGTAGCAAAGGGGTTAATACTCGTGTAGCAAAGGGGTTAATACTCGTGTAATTGAGAATATTCTAACTTACATAACATCAACGTTTTTTTAGCTTTATTAGTTTGGAGTAGTAATGCTTGGAGACGGCTTGAATGGGTGATGATGATGACAAAACCTTGTCGAAACGTTGTACATTTGCTGTTATATTAAACTTATATTAAAGTTTTTCTTCATTGCCCATTCAAGCCGTCTCCAAAGCGACTTGACCACTGTTTCTTCATATCGAATAACGTGAATGCTTGTTTCATTCTCCATCTACTTGAGGTATATAACAATAACAGTTTGAACTTATATGTTAGGGAATGAACTTGTGTTGCTTTTCCAGACAAAGATCCTTTTTAATTATGTTGCATACTGTTGTCTGGGACATGTGGACGACTTTTCCACTGATCTTTGTGTTCGCAGATTCTCACCTGTTACAGACTAGAATACGACTTGTTAGTGTTCTAAGTTGCTACATATTTCTTTGTTTTCCAACGTCATCAAGCATAAAGGATATTCCTGTCCTGGATAATCCAAATCCCCGATCTCATTATATCTTTATGATTTGAGTATGTGAATTCTTTACATCCGAAAGAGTTATTACATACTTTTCTCAAAGTCGATAAATTTTCGGTGGCATAACAATTTCTACGTAACGTCAAACTAAGGTTATCACATGACTTGCTGATTCACATATTCAAAATCATTTTAATATAACGTACTTAACTTTGTACAATGCATTGGATTTGTTGTAAGTTAACTGTCACGCAGTAAACACCAAAATCATAGTAAGCAAAGTACGAGACATTTAGAGTATGTGTTTGGAAAATGATTGATTTCTTTATTCTTTTACGTGGTTTCTTTTGAACAAATTGATAAATTGATTTAGTTTTTGAATTTGTAAAATTGGTTAAGAGATTATATCATAACAAACCTATGCCTGCAAAATCTTGAGTTCTCTATAATAAATTTCTAAATGAAAGCTATAATTCAACCCAATTAAATCTCTGTTAATAATGTCAGCATGAAAAACGGTAACCGTAAGCTAGATTATGGTAAGACCGTAATGGTAGCACCGTGCAAAATATACCAGTGTGGAGTTGCATTATATCGATACAAACTTACTAAGTGTGAAAAATATGTAAATTACCTTAAAAATATAAGTATATATTATTTTATCGTTTGGTTTTCTCGATACAATGTATTTGCACATAAGAATGAAATATTAAAAAACCAGAAACAGTAAAGTATGTTTTAAATCGATTTCGAAATAACCTCTATACCAATAATGGAACATTTTTAGTGTTAAAGATCCAAAGGGGTTTGTGACACAGCTGTATGACGTACATTCCAAAATATATAAATAACATTTAATGTAAAAATAATTCAAAGTATTGGGGCCTGACATGATTTGTTGTTTAGGCGCTCGACTCGCAATTTGCGGGTCGCGGGATCGAATTCTGCGATCGAACATACTCTCCCTTTCAGGCGTAAAGAGTCTTATAATATGATGGTCAACACATTATTCATTATAAAATGATTAGCCCAAGAATTAGGGGTGGGTAGTGTTGATTAGCTGCTTTACCTCTTGTCTATCACTTCAAAATTAACTTTGTGCAAAATTCAGCAAACAAACAATTCGAAGTGTTATTGAATTTACAGTCTTCAGAAATAAAACACTAAAAGTGTTTGAATTAATATTGTCTTATTGTATTTGTTCAGATTTATATTATCAATGATATGACACCTTTTATTATACACATAAAATGCAATTTTGGTAGATTGCTATTAAAAATTTAATAATTAAACTTAATGTTATAATATTAAATTATCATCAATAGTGTTTTTGGTTCAATGAAGGATTTTGATACAGGTATTATGTGAAGAGACATAAAAAATTTATCGCACATGTTTCGGACGGCTAGATATGCGCGTCCATTATCAGAGATGAAAAATAAATTTACAGTTGAATAATAATCCAAGACACTTAGAGATATTTATAATATAACTAGTGTATAGCCCGTCAAAAATGACGGGGCAAGTACAACCACCCCCACCCCATAGTATACCCTAAACTCACATTTCGTAGCTAATTGAAATAAATAAATTTTGCAAAATCAAGCTTGACCAACAAAGAGACAGAAAGTGCAGTCGAGGCAGTCAAACATCTATAAATCCCTTTGAGAGCCAATTAAAATTAAGATCATTCGTGAAATGAATTCGTGGCGTATTCATAGAATAATTATTAGTAAAAATCAGTTAGATTATCAACATCTAATATATAGAAAAGCCAGTGCGTTTTGGTAACACTACTTCCAACAATGGCTTTTATGTCATGTTAATCTATGTACTCAAAGTATACAATGAAATGTATAGACAACAAAACTGGAAAAATATTTGTTGATTTCTTAATTTAGACTTTCCGTTGATTAAAGAGGTTTGTTTTTTACTAAAAACGTTGGTGATATAACAAAATTGAATCGATATTTTTTACTTTTATGATAAATTTTATGCACTTGGCTTTAGGCTAGGTGACCCTACACTACGTATTTACTTTAGGCGTATCATACCAACACTCACTACACTTATAAAGTTTTCACGGCACCCCCTTCCCTTATGGCCCCCTTGCACACCCGTCACTAAAATCGTAATGGACATACAGTAATCGAACTATTCTCTCTGGATAAATGCATTTTGGTATTTATGGCTCCTCCTATTTCGAGAAATCAAGAGAAATGAAGCTTGACGCGACACACACACTGGGTTTTATATAGATAAGTTAAAAGGTGAATGAAAAAATACATGATATGCTTTATCAGTTTCAATACATAAGTTGTTGGCTGTATATACAAATCAGATTAAGGAATTCCAATTATTAGTACCTACAGAGTTTCAAAGTTTTGTGTGGGATTTGCATGACCCGCGTCTCGATGTAGAATATCACATATTTCTAGTGGTTTGCAATAATTAAATTTTCTAATACAGAAACAGTTAAACAACAATTCACTTTTCTGCCATAAGATAATATGACCTGCATTTGCACAATGCTCAGCTAGTACGGGCTTATAAAACTTTTTCTTTTCACATTTCTCTGTTGCTCTTTCATTCTTATCTTTAAATACTTAGTAGTCTTTGTCAGTATAGATTTTAGTTAAACAGCATGGTAATTTAATTTTATAATTTTTGCACGAGTTGGCTATATGAAATTTTAAACTTAATGTTGTTTAAAGTAGTTTTCGTTTAACATAATGTTACGTCTCCGTTTGTTAGTTGATTTTTCCGTAACTTCGTTCCGACGAAACTTTGGCGACACAAATCTTTACTTAATAAAACTGGTTTATTCTTTCCGAATACAACTTTACGATACACTTATTTTCAACAATCACGCTAAACCAAACGCTATATCAACGAACGTCAACAGTACTTCTGACTGCAGTTCAATTACTCACTATCTACACACACACTATTCCGTCACGTTGTCACCCTCTTATATATATACCAGACTACCCTATCTAGTAAATGCTAGGGCATTCATGAAGGAGCAAGATAGTTCTAGAAACGTGGCGTCACACTAGTCATGTGACCTCGCTGACGCAACAATAATGATATTGTAATTGGAAGGATTGGAAGATTTTATAAAATTTATACATACTATTAGGTTATTCTGTTAGGCTATTGGGAGCAAGTGTTAAATAAATCAGTTTAAAGTTGTAATTTCTTCATGAAATGGAAACAAACAAACAAATATGTTATTACTGTAAGTAAAATATGAAGTTTCAAGATGTTGCTTAAGCTTTAGGATTGCATTTCGCACTTTTCTCTTAATATATCATAATGGATTAGCTCATCGAGCTCAAAGTTAAAAAGTTTGAATTTAATTCTAGTTTATTAGATAACCCGTTACCTCGACAAGAAAAAAAAAAGAATAAAGAAAGCTAATTATTAATTAATTATTACAGTTTCTTCAGACTCCATTTTTGCAGACAGAAACTTCATTGTGTTTCTAGTAACTGTTCTTGTCACACTTCCTCTGTCTCTGTATCGGAAGCTCTCGCAACTAAGTAGGGTGAGTTTAATTTTATAGTAGCAATTAAAAGTTGGTTAAATAATAGCTCAAACGTAGAACAAGTCAGGATAGACTTGAATTAATGGTCTATTATTACAATATCATAAGGAAAAAATTGTCTCTCTTTTGGGATGTCAAACATTCCGATCTTTAGATTATAATAAAGTATTAAACAAAATTTAATTTTGTTTTTTGGTTTCACAGATGTCTTTTATATCTCTTTTGGCTTTACTGTCTGTAGCTGTATTTGTGATTGTAAGAGCAGTGACAATGTCTGACATAAAGTAAGTACCAAAATTTTTCGTTCCAGTTAATATTTGACCCTTATCTTCAACTTGTAACTTAAAACTAAAACAATGCACATATGAGCCAATATTGTTGTTTGTTCGATTATACATATAGACAAAAATATTTTTCAATTGAAAAAGAAAATGCTTAAAACAATAATTGTGAAAGATGACCTTTATATTGAATTTATGTACGCATGTTTTATAGATTGAATTTGTATATAGATCCCTCCAATCAAAATCGCGCAAGGTATATAACAATATAAAAGTGATAGTTGTCGTCTCATTTTAAGACTTGAAAATATGTGTGTGCTGAGTTTTATGATTATAATCATAATACGTGTCTTTGGTTTTTTGGCATGTAAATAATAACTGATGATGAATGAGTTTTAGTATTTGACTATTAAATAGATTAATTTTCCTTTCGTTTATGTTTTTCATATTGTTCCTAGATATGCGTTAAAGTATTTTTCAGTTGAAAATGGGCGTGGCCCAGAGGTCGGCTTGTTGGTCTGCAAATTGAAGTATCTGGGGTTCGAGACGCGATGCTGCTGATCATGCCCCAAATTTTCACTTATGGACGAAGTATAAAACGGACAAAGTTCCGTTATTTGGTTCAAAGAGCCAGAAAAAAGTCCAGTTATTCCTGAACCTTGGGGTCTCTGACCTGGGCGTGTAGCTCAGTACGCATATGAGTTCGTTTAGACTGAAAATGTGTAATTATAGTTTATCACCTGAAATAATTGAATGCTTAAGTTTTATAATTTCGTCTTGCATAACTCAGCAGTCACTTGAAGCCCTATGGGGAAAAAAAGATACATATATATATATATGTGTGTGTGTGTGTGTATGTATGTATATGTATGTATAGAAAATTAGTACTTAAACAGTTAAGAAACAATTAATATCGAAAGGAAGGACTGCATTAAAAACTGCAAATCCAAACCTGTAATGAATGACATTTTAATGAACAAAACAGCCCCTCCCCCAAAATGAAATTCAAGATGCTACTTCAATCAAAAGGATCCCCAGGGTACAGACTATAGTGTGGCATACAAAATATGCCCTGCGTTTTGGAGGTGATTGCGGAAATAGGTCTTCCTTTTTCATGTAGAAGGAACTATAGGGGCTTGCCGGCTCTCCTAAGTTGGTCAAAAAGTTACATCTTGGTTGAAACATTTTGACAAGATAGCGAATACCACATGAAATCAAATTCCATCAGAAATATGCCTATTGAGGTTATTTCCCATGCTACTGTGAATTCCTCAAGAGGAGTGATTATAGAGAGAGATTTATTAACATACGCGAGTCGGAGATTCTCGCTCGTTTCTTCAGCCAAAGTGCTTCAGCTGTCTGGCGTATCGCCACTCGAAAAAAAAAAAAGAGGAATAATAATAATGTTCTGATTTTGACATTTATATCACAATGTCCATCCGCTACTACCAAGGCAGGTTATCCTAGCTGTAAGGTTTAGCCTTATATTCCTAAGCCTCTTAGATGTTTTCAATGTCAGATGTTTGCACACTCTAAGACATCTTGTCATTGTTCTTTGATGTGCGCTTGTTGTGGTGGCAAAGGCCACAACAGTTATTAACGTCAACTGGACCCACATTGCATTAACTGTAATAGTTCCCATGCCTCATACTTTCATTCTTGCCCTTAAAGAGTATAGAAGAAATAGGTACAGTGGTTAAGAACCTCTAACAACATTTCTTATCCAGAGGCATAGAAATTGTTGTCCCCTGTTTCATCTCGGACATACGCTGCAGCATTCTGTTCCACTGCCAAAGTAGGGATTCAGACAGATCTCACCATTCCTCAAACAGATTATTTTTCTGATTATGTCAGGAGTCTTCTGCCCTATGTATATGTAATAGTTGAGAAATCCACATCTACTCCCGTCTCTGTCCCCTTCACAGTATTATGTGAATACTCAGGCCACTCTTCATTGGTCTCGAGGAGCAGAACTGTTATCCAGGCACGCACTCAATCACTGGAATCTCTTTTATCTGATAGAGACCTGTCGAATCGACCCAGAGCAGAATCCATGGAGGTTGATAAACGACTTTCTAATAAAAAACACCGTTGTGTTGAACATAAAAAGCTCTTGACCCAGTTCTCCTTCTACTAAATAACAATGGCCAGTTTGATAAGTTTGATACAGTGGAACTTTCGAGGTTCCTGTTTTAATTTAGATGGCATTAAGGCCTTGATTGATTCTTATTACCTTGCATGTCTCTCCTTACAGGAAAGATTCCTCAGACCTGTTGATACCATCAACTTTCACGATTTTCCTTGTTTAGGAATGATAGGATGTGTGGTGGATGAGTTCAGGGAAGTGTGGCACTGCTGGTTGACCATAACGCACCCACCATGTCTGTGCCACTCACTATGCCACTGGAGGCTAGTGCCATCCATATCTCCTTCGGTGATACCATCATAATTTGTTCTTTTCACTTGTCACCAGGTTACAGTTATGGTCAAGCAGACCTTGATGATCTTTCTGAACAGGGCCCCGGCATGGCTAGGTGGTTAGGGTGCTCGACTCACAATCTGAGGGTCGCGGGTTCGAATCCCCATTCCACCAAACACGCTCGCCCTTTCAGCCGTGGGGGCGTAATAATGTAACGATCAATACCACTATTCGTTGGTAAAAGTGCAGCCTAAGAGATGGCGGTGGGTGGGGATGACTAGCTGCCTTCCCTCTAGTCTTACACTGCTAAATTAGGGACGGCTAGCATAGATAGCCCTCGTGTAGTATTGCGCGAAATTCAAAATAAACAAACAAATAAACTTTTTGAACAGTTATTACCTCCCTTTTTCGATTTGGGACACTTTAAAAATACTTTTGTGCTTCAGAAAATTGTCAAATTTTACATGCGAAATCTTTATAACTTCCAGTTAATTATCAAACGTTTTTTTAATCAACCTCGTAACTAACATAAAATAATAGGAAATATATATAAAATACGCTTTTTTCATTCTAGAATGACTACAAATTATTACAAGAAACCACAAATGTTTAGCCTAAATACCTTAAATCACATAACATTATACATATACATATATATTTTGATTTTATTTCATTGATCTCTCAACCGTTTCTAACTAACATTACAGAAATTGCAATGATGCGATGCACGTGCACTCATGTTACCGTATCCAGTAGTATAAAATTGGCCTTTACAAAGTGACCTGCCCAGGCTTTACTCTAGAGGACCAGTATTTTGTAAAATACAGTCACATTTCGGTTATAATACATTGCATATATATATATATTATTATTATTACTATTTTCAAATAAGTTATTATATTTCAGTTATTTTTCTTAGACCATAGACCAATAAATAAATAAATACAGAAGAGAACGATCACTACTACGTTCGACTGTGGCCCGGTATGGCCAGATGGTTAGGGCGCTTGACTCGCACTCTGAGAGTAGCGGGATTGAATTCCCGTTCCACCAAACATGCTCGCCCTTCCAGCTGCCCCTCCCCCACACCCCACAGTAGCACAGCGGTTTCGATACCCGTGGGGGGGTAGAGCACAGATAGTCCATTGTGTAGTTTTGTGCGTAACTTCAAACAAACAAACAAACCTTCCAGCCGTGGGGGCGTTATAATGGTACGGTCAAAAGAGTAATCCAAGAGTTTGGCGGTGGGTGGTGATGACTAGTTTTTCACTGCTAAATTAGGGACAGCTAGCGCAGATATCCCTCGTGTAGCTTTGCACGAAATTTAAAACAAACCAAACCAAACTTACGATTGTAAAGAAATTTGTACTCGGTTGCCATACCTTGTATGCTAAGCTTTGCCAAATTTCGCACATGGAAGGTGTAAAACAAAATAGGTTTTATATATGCATTTTAAAATAACAAAAATCATAAGTTACTCTATCAATATCACAGAATTCCACTGCAATTTATCAGGCTTACTAATTAAACTGTATTTGGGTAAAAAAATATTGTTTTTCGAACTACGTCTTAAAAAATACACGAGCAAATAAGTAATTAAAAAATCTGATCTTATGTGTACGAGAGCTTTGTAATGTCTACTGATAATCTGCAAAATGTCGTGTAGATACTCACACTGTATTAAAAGTTATAGTATGAAAACTATAACAAGCACAAAATGGTAATGAGGTCAGTTCCTGGGATGGTGCTGTTATTGATGGGAGGGGTTGTTCTGTGGAGCATGTTCTTTTCGATCAAGATCTCTTTCTATTCAATAATGGTTCTTATACCTATATTCACACCTAATCAGTCTTTTACTGTTATTGATTTATCCATTTGTTCCCCTTTCCCATTTCGGACAATGCCTCACAGGACAGTGATAATTTTTTCATCATTTTGAGGGAGATTGGCCGTGGTCGATACAACTTCATTCGTGTGTCATGGTGGAAACTAGAGCAGTCTAACTGGCTTTCCTTACCAATCTCTTCAAATTTGATCCTGCTGTCATTAGTATTCCCACTATTAAAAACTGCATGGAGACAATTACTGATTGTATTATCCAAGCAGCTGTTTGTACAATCCTCAAAACCTCGACACATTTCCCACAGTATCCTTATCCATGGTGGACCCCTGACTACCACCCTTGGAGAGCGCTTTCTTATTTTTTCAGCACTTCCTATCTTTATTTGCCTTCTTGGTCATCATGTCACAGCTGAGAGATCACCACTTTCTTTATGGGCAGATAATCACTATGACTATAATAATATATTTTTGCTGGTGGAACTAAAAACTGCGCTACATCAGTCTGGCAATATATCAGTTGGACTTGATGACGTATATTATGGGATGCTGTGCCATCTATGTAATGTCTCTCCTGCTCTTCTTCAGGCTGACTTGAACCGGATTTGGCAGGAGGATGTTTTCCAGATGCATGGCATAGGGTTATTGTCATTCATTTTTCTCAGACTGGAAAGGATCCTAAGTTTCTTTCTAATATTCAACCATTCGCTTTGACAAGCTGTTTTTATGAGGTTTTGGAGGGGATTGTTAATGCTTGTCTTGTTTGGTTCCTTAAACTACACAACCTCGTGCACAATCACGTGCACACAATGTAGTTTTTAGACAGTTTTCCAACATGGACCACCCAATTCGTCTTGAAATCTCTATCAGGCAAGCCTTCCTTAAAAGGGAGCATTTTGTTTCGATCTTCTTTGATCTTGAGAAGGCTTACAACAATACATGTAGGTTTGGCATTTTACAGGACCTTAATTCCTTTGGGTAATGTGGCCATATACCCATTTTATTCGTAACTTTTTAATTGACAGGCGTTTCCAAATCTGTGTGGATTTTATATTGTCCTGATCCTTCACACAGGAACTTGCAGTCCCTCAGGGCTGTTTTCAGTGTCACACTTTTCAATATTAAGTTCAATGCTACCACTGAACAACTTCCTCCAAGTGTTTCAAGCAGCTTCTATGTTGATGATTTTCACATTTCCTGTTAGTCATTGAATATGAGGTATATTGAATGGCAGCTTCAGACTGCCCTCACTCGCTTATTGGAGTGGACCCTAGCAAATGGTTTCAACTGCTCTTTATTTAAAACCATTTGCATATATGTTTTGGGGCCAGTGGGGTATACACCCTGATCTAGAGTCTGCCTGTGTGGTGCTATTCTTCATGTGATGGCTGAGACAAAGTTAGTAAGACTTCTCTTTGACCTTAAGCTGACATGTATCCCACACATTAAGTAGTACAAGAGTACAAACATCCTCCACATCGTCTCTCCAATTCTAGGGGAATGGATGTATGTTCTTTTCTGTAGATCTATCGTGCCCTCATTTGATGAAAACTAGACTGTGGTCTATGGCTCAGCCAGGGGACCTTGTACATCATCAGAAGCTTTGGTTCTGCATGGGGACTTTCCACACCTTTCTGGTCCAGAGTTTGTACACTGACTCCTATGAACCTCCTCTTCACTTCAGACGTTTGCAACTTTCTTTGCTATGTGCTATGAAGGTTCTATCCCTACTACAGAATCTGAACTGAAGTTGAGGTTTTCTGGCTTTCTGGACATGTTGGTATGCAAGGGAATGAGTTTGATAACACCGCAGCTAAATCCATTTGCTCTGGCGTTGTTACAGCTCTGCCTGTACTTTATGTGGACTACAAACATGCCATTAAGGTCTGTCTTCACACCAGTTGGCAGTCGATTTGGGGTGAGCAACATAATACCAAGCTTTTACAGATCACGCCTACTATTGTTATTTGGCCGTTTAGTTTCTGTAAGGTGTGGATACATAGTCACATATTTTACTTTTGTGAGGGTTGGCGCCATTTTAGACATTTTTATTTTCCAATATTTTACCTCTGACGTTCGACAGTGTCATTAGCGGTAGTGACACTGTCCAGATTGATCATGTTTTTAGCTTTTTACAGGCTATTGGTCTTTTTATTTATATCTAATTTTAAACCTCATTTACGGTCATTGTTCGGCTTTTGGTTTCTTTTCTTGTTTTACTTTTTACCGCGTTTTTCTTTTACTTTTATTACTTTCTTATCAAGATTGCTACCGGTTGTTTGCCGCAAATAGTCAATGAACTTTGGCCCAATAAACTCTCACCAAACAACCAATCAAATACGTTAACGGAACAGGTGATTATTCATCCCTGACAAATAATTATGTAAAAATAAATTTTTATTATAAATGTAAGCGCTAACAAAATAAAAATGTATTTTTACAGCTGACCTTCTGGTAGAAGTTTATATTCAGAGGTGGAAAGTAGCGTATGTCTTGATATGTGTGTGTGTGTCTCTCTCTATATATATACCCCCCCCCCCCCCAATGGCACAGCGGTTTGTATGCGGACTTACGACGCTAAAAACCGGGTTTTGATACCCGTGATGTAAGAGCACAGATAGCCCATTGTGTAGCTTTGTGCTTAATTACAAACAAACTATATGTATATATATATATATATATATGTGTGTGTGTGTATGTATATATAAATATATAAACTGTAAACTTGAGATGGAATATTTTTAAACATTTTTATTGAATTTATCATAACCAATAAACTATTTCATCCATACTTATAGGAAACGGTTAGTATTTTATTCTTCATAGTGAAAATAAAACTAGAAAATTTGATCTTTCAATAACTTAGTGTACTTGAAAGCTCACATGATAAAATATAGCCAAAATATCAATGTTTCATTAATATTAGCTTATATAAAATCAATCTTAATAAGAAGCAGAACACTACAAAAATATTAGTGTAAAAGTATAACTGAAATTTATAATTTACGTACAAAAATTAAGCTTTATTTATCTGTAGCATTCGTTTGAATAGCCTAAAAAATGATTCACTGGTTTTGCAGAACAGTAAATACAAAAGCTTAGGTCCCAACAATATATTATGGTATATATCCGGACTTTACGGTGTAGTTAAATGCAGAATCTCAAGTCCCAATAAAAAAAAATTAAGGTATATTCAAACATTGTCCATATTGAACATTATCTTTATTTCAGGGTTTCCCGAAATTACTTCAGCCCTTCATCTTTGACTAGAGTCGCAATATCTTTCGCCATTCTGGCCTGTGGTTAGTTATTCTGTTTTGTCATAGTGATATATGTATTTATAAATACTGGAAATGATGATAAAAACTTTATTATCAGCTATCAGTTTCGGAGATTTGTGAAGGATTTTACATAAAGAATTTAAAGACACTGGTTACCAAAGCATGACTTTTGTATTGCAAATGCTTCTGCTTGATTTTATTCTGTGTGAAAAACATCAGGGAGCCTGATAAGTGTTTAAGAAAACACAGATGGTTTTATTTGCGCTCACATGCATATTTCCATTTCCAAAACGAGGTTCACTTGCTGTGACGTCACAGTTATGGTATCTGTTCAGTTTGGTACAGTTTTTGATAGGAAATCATCGGCTTGATTGTCAATAACTAACTAACTTCACCATTATTTGCGAAAAAGAAGTTTTCTTTACGTCTTCAAAATGCCTTATTGTGCTGTATGCAGATGCAACAGTGATTTCATACATGGCAGAAAAACTAGTTGAATTTGTAGGACTGCTTTCAAATTATACCGCCTCGATGCACACTTCAAAAGGTTTTAAACTATACTCTATAATTCTTAACTCTGTGAATCATGTAGAAAATAGATGATGCTACTTGCTACTTTAAGGCACGAGATGGTAGGAAGAATGGTTTGCTGAAAATGATGAAATTAGCTGGGTAGCACTTAACTGAACCGATTCATCAACTATACTGTAATTTACAAAATAAAGCATAACAGAATTGTATGTCGAAAGCAATTACCTTACCAGGTTAATTTATCGGTTCGCATATATTGGCTTTCAGCTTGTGTCTGCGAAGCCTCTTTCCTCGATTTGTCCTCAAACAAGTTAGAGATTTCTTCTGTCTCTGGTTCATTATTTACATTTGACAAACTGACGCGGTTGAATGTTGCCTGATGGTGTACCTATCTCGTTGTCACCGGTGTATTCTAAATCCATGATCCGATATTGACTGTCGATAAAAGCTAACTCTATCGTTCTATCATAACTTTTACAGAGTTGCACTCAACATTTAATTTGACTACTAACTTATCAATGTATGTTAATACACGTGGCATAAAAATATAGCTGAAAATCCAGATATGTATATTATCTAAATTTTATTTTGTTAATTTCAGAAAGAAATATTGAATAAATTCTGAATTTTAATTTGTTTCTATCACGTGACGGTCTGAGCTCGGATTTCTCAATTTCTGAAATTTATAACTTCAATTATAAAATTCATAGTTTCGAACTAATTAGAGACAGAAATCCGTTAGTGTTATTTGATTTTGGCAACCACAGAATAACAGTCTAACGTAGTTTCTTTGTGTGCGAACGTCATAATCCTCTTTGGATGTCTAAAGGAATTTTAATACCTAGTCATAGCTTTCTTAGAAAGACAGATAAGTTTTGGAAGATTCTATTGTAGTGACTATATATATTTGTTCTAAAATGCATATTTACCCAATTTACGAGAGGCTTTACGTAAAAGAGCTAAGGGCTCTCACTGTAATTTTTTGCGTTTGAAAGATGACAAACTGCTCCTAGACAGGTAAAAGGAAATTAAAAGAAAACAGGTGTCAACATATCAATAATTGAAACTGTGGAGACAAGTAATAATGAAAAACTGAAATATATTACTCATTCAAAGTTGGCGAAAAAAAGATATAATTCATTTTAGTTCATATTTTTCAAATTTTTATCTCACTGTACATAGATGATTTCGCTTCAGTTAGTGTTAGGGTAGAGAAAATAAGAGATGAAATATGAAGTTTTAATGAACAAAACTTTTGATGTCCATTTAGAAGCTCCTAGAGGTTCTGCAAATGATATATGAAAACTACGAGGTGAAAAGAAGTATTTCTATTCTTAATATGAAAATCACCTTTCACCAAGATTGAACAAGTAAAGGCTTCGGTAGTTAATAGATGTGCAACATATATCTAGTGAACTCTAAAAGCTTCCGAATTTTGTGAAGATGCACGTAGTTTACTCAGAACTTTAGTAAACCTTATTATGTATAACTTCACAGAGAAGGGATCAGTTCAATTGCTTTGATGTTTTATCTCACATCTGTGACGTCACATGGTTATTTGGGTATTACCTCATTAAATCTCGGCACATTTTACCGATTTTTCATAAAATGAAATAAAACAGCCATATTCTAAGTCCGATTATGTAATAACTATTTGGGCACAAAGAGTATTGTTCTTTTTATGGCATCAAATTAAAAGAAAGTCATTTTTTTGTGATCGGTGTTCTTTAAACAATTTTTAAACTTCACAGTTTTGATAAAGTTTCATGCCCTAAAAGCCTTTGTTTTATTTAGATTATTTAAAATTATTACTTCAACGTTATAACGAGCTTTACATCTATGACGATGTTTTTAAGTGATCACACTGAATTTTTTGTGTAACGTTTTACAGATGAGTGCTGCAACTATATGCATTTTTGACAGAAGAAGTATTTTCCAATAAGTATGAAATTAAGACAAAACTATGTTTCACAGTGCATATAACATTACAGTATCTGTAAATGCTAAGGTGCAGGTGACTGTGCTCATAATTCTAAGAAAATTTTAAAATACTAAACATTATCATAATTCTAATTTATAAAAAAAATTCTGTTTCTGAAGGATTTAACGTCCTCCACATCTCCTTCATGATGCACCGGTCATTAAAGAACCCAACTTTAAAACGATGGAATATGGTTTCACACTTAAGTGTTGGAGGCAGCTGTCTCGTCTTTCTTATGGTGGGACTAGCAGGATTTTTTACTTTCGGAGATGCAACTCAAGGTGATCAATGGTTTAGACAAGTGATGGGCAAACTGAGCTAATCCGCGAGCCACGTGCTGTCCTGAAACCTGTTTTACTAGTCATATGCCAAAATAGATACATATGAATAGAAATGAGCTAAATATGAAACATATTAAGTTGCTATAGCGGTCATCTAGTAACATATTGTCTTTACTGAAAATTTTAAAAAATACATTTATACATTATATAAAAAACACATTATCAAAGGTTACACTTTAACTTCCTAGCATGAATGCACCTATGCACCAATTCTTGCATGCCACTTATATCATTGTGATGAGTTATGTTTTCAGGATGCAGGCTGACACCTAAAGGGCCGCGGG